CAATAGTCAAACGTTGTCAATCGAAACAGCGATTTGCATACTCGCAACATTGCATGCTACATTTGTATCTCTTAATACTGTGCATAACCGATTCCTATATCACTGCATGGAGCTTTGCATCAGCTGACAATGGCGGAGTGCGCAACATTTTTTTATCCCCGATTGGCAAACAAGTGTTTGTTTTTACAAACTCAACACTTTGTTAGCGCACAAAAATGTTATTCCGTGATCTACAAATCCAAGTCATTAAAAATATTTTTTTAAGACTTAAATCCTAGCAGAAATCAAAGACGTTGAACTACATGTATGTGCGTCCGTGCAGAAATCAAGAGAGAAAAAGGCAATCACGGGTAAAGTTTCAAAACACGAGCAAATTTCGATTTTGGAATGACAGCAAAACAAAAACTAAATGAATATAAATACAACTCTTTCTCCATAATAATCTACAACTTGCGGATCAGAAACGATCGTAATTTAGATGTGATTCGTCTAGCCAGTGACGGCACCAGTGGAAGAGCTTTCATGAACGTACCCTCGTGCAAGAATGGCCACCGTGCGTGAATTACAAATTTTGAACTATTTCTAGTTGCCCACGTTTGCTTCCAAATTTGTCCATAAAAATTGAAAACTGTGACTTAATCATTCAAATGTAACTCTTAAACATTGTTAATGTCAACAGTCTTTTCAACTTCCGGTTACTCGTAAACATTTTCTGGCTGCTGCACATGACAAACACGCCGTCTTCTGTGTGAAATAAATGACTTAATTGTTGCTAATTAAAAAAGAGGGTGAACCTGGAGCAATAGTCGTTGTATAATTAACTGATTAATTGATTAATTAATTGAAAAGTGCATATTGATAAGATTCCATTTTATACGATCAGAGACCAGGCCTCTGATATGGTACACACTTCAGACGGAAATAAGACGGCGAAATTGATGAAAGCACTGCAATGTAAATAATATATTTTTTGCCAACAAACTGCAATACCATTCAACAGTCACTATTTCATGTCATCACTCTAAATATATTGAATTACTATCTAAACACACATTGTCGAAATTTGATAACTGCAGATTGTTGTCTCCTGCATGCCAACGACATGAACAGCTGATGGTGGTAAACATGCCTCCTAAACGATCTATAATTGTCCTCGCGAATAATTCCCCATCAAGTCAACAATGAACAGAAATACATAAATATTAGTGTAATTTATTCTTAAGTAGAACAGAAGTGTAAGTTGAATGTATTTTTTTGTTAATATGAATGATAATATTTTTAAATAGAATCTACATGTATTCGCAGTGGAATAATTAATGTTCGAAAATAGGATATATCTATATAATCTAGTAATATTACTTGCAACATTATTTGAGTCACAAGTACCAAAAATCAAATACAGTTTCTACACTGTGTGAATATGAAATATCTCATGAAATATAGCAAAATCTCATCACACGCCAAAAAATCTCATTGCTTTTGGACCAGGGGAGATTTTCTCTCATAGGTAAAAATTTCCAGGATAATCCCTGACTTTACACAGATGATGTGCTTTACACAGATGAAGCGCTTTCCACAGATGATGTGCTTTACACAACTGAGGTGCTTTACACAGATGATGTGCTTCACACAGCTGATGTACTTTACACAACTGATGTGCTTTCCACAGATGATGTGCTTTACACAGATGATTTGCTTTACGCAACTGATGTGCTTTACACAGCTGATGTGATTTACACAGCTGATGTGCTTTACACAGATAATGTGCTTTCCACAACTGATGTGCTTTCCACAGATGATGTGCTTTCCACAGATGATGTGCTTTACACAACTGATGTGCTTTCCACAGATGATGTGCTTTACACAGATGATGTACTTTACACAACAGATGTGCTTTACACAGCTGATGTGCTTTACACAGATGATATGCTTTACACAGATGATGTGCTGTCCACAGATGATGTGCTTTACACAGATAATGTGCTTTACACAGCTGATGTACTTTACACAACTTATGTGCTTTCCACAGATGATGTGCTTTACACAACTGATGTGCTTTACACAACAGATGTCCTTAATGCAGAGGATGTGCTTTACACAGCTGATTTGCTTTACACAACGGATGTGCTTTACACAACGGATGTGCTTTACGCAGATGATGTGCGTTACACAGATGATGTGCTTTACACAACTGATGTGCTTTAAGCAGATGATGTGCTTTATACAACTGATGTGCTTTACACAGCTGGTGTGCTTTACACATCTGATGTGCTTTACGCTGATGTACTTTACACAACTGATGTGCTTTACACAGCTGATGTGCTTTATGCAGATGATGTGCTTTACACAGCTAGTGTGCTTAACACAGATGATGGATTGCTTCTATGAAGCTTATAGGTCCATTGAGAAGGTGAGAGGTTCCCTTGTTGCTGTTGGTGCTTTGATCTGCCCTAACATGGGGTTGTACAGAACTCCCAACAGTTTCCCTATACTCACAGCACATGTATGGGCCATACACTATCCCCTATACTCACAGCACATGTATGGGCCATACACTATCCCCTATACTCACTGCACATGTATGGGCCATACACTATCCCCTATACTCACTGCACATGTATGGGCCATACACTATCCCCTATACTCACAGCACATGTATGGGCCATACACTATCCCCTATACTCACAGCACATGTATGGGCCATACACTATCCCCTATACTCACAGCACATGTATGGGCCATACACTATCCCCTATACTCACAGCACATGTATGGGCCATACACTATCCCCTATACTCACAGCACATGTATGGGCCATACACTATCCCCTATACTCACAGCACATGTATGGGCCATACACTATCCCCTATACTCACAGCACATGTATGGGCCATACACTATCCCCTATACTCACAGCACATGTATGGGCCATACACTATCCCCTATACTCACTGCACATGTATGGGCCATACACTATCCCCTATACTCACAGCACATGTATGGGCCATACACTATCCCCTATACTCACAGCACATGTATGGGCCATACACTATCCCCTATACTCACAGCACATGTATGGGCCATGTACTTCGCCCCCATCACTACTGCCTTACCCCCACAACACATGTATTGGACATACACTTAACCCCCATCACTACTGCCTTACCCCCACAACACATGTATGACCCATGTACTTCACCCCCATCACTACTGCCTTACCCCCACAACACATGTATTGGACATACACTTAACCCCCATCACTACTGCCTTACCCCCACAACACATGTATTGGACATACACTTAACCCCCATCACTACTGCCTTGCCCCAACAACACATGTATTGGACATACACTTAACCCCCATCACTACTGCCTTGCCCCAACAACACATGTATTGGACATACACTTAACCCCCATCACTACTGCCTTACACCCACAACACATGTATTGGACATACACTTAACCCCCATCACTACTGCCTTGCCCCAACAACACATGTATTGGACATACACTTAACCCCCATCACTACTGCCTTACCCCCACAACACATGTATGACCCATGTACTTCACCCCCATCACTACTGCCTTACCCCCACAACACATGTATTGGACATACACTTAACCCCCATCACTACTGCCTTGCCCCACAACACATGTATTGGACATACACTTTACCCCCATCACTACTGCCTTGCCCCAACAACACATGTATTGGACATACACTTAACCCCCATCACTACTGCCTTACCCCCACAACACATGTATGACCCATGTACTTCACCCCCATCACTACTGCCTTACCCCCACAACACATGTATTGGACATACACTTAACCCCCATCACTACTGCCTTGCCCCACAACACATGTATTGGACATACACTTTACCCCCATCACTACTGCCTTGCCCCAACAACACATGTATTGGACATACACTTTACCCCCATCACTACTGCCTTACCCCAACAACACATGTATACACTTTACCCCCATCACTACTGCCTTACCCCAACAACACATGTATTGGACATACACTTAACCCCCATCACTACTGCCTTACCCCCACAACACATGTATGGCCCATGTACTTCACCCCCATCACTACTGCCTTACCCCCACAATACATGTATACACTTCACCCCCATCACTACTGCCTTACCCCCACAACACATGTATACACTTCATCCCAAGGACTTATTTTGGAGATTTTAATGTTTGGCTGACTGTCTGTGGTGACAGACTTATTTCCCTTGCTGCCAGGCCAGCCTCCCTTGAAAGGCATGTGCAACTGATAATTGGTAAGTGAGTTATGCTGACATGTAGTGGTGATGTAGGCATCTGTGTTGACATTCATTGTGGCTTGCACTCTCAGGTCACCAGCAGGGACCACATCTTGTTACAAGGTGGAGTACAGGCATGTAGCAGGACTTGAATCCATATGTAGAAGAGGAACCAATGCAGTGTCTTACCAAAATAAGAGATGAGTTATGGTAGACTGTAGGCATTGCATCAGCTTCACTGAGGGTTAAATGACTTAGAGCAATTCTCCCAATATGTAATGGGATCCCCGTAACATGAGGGCTGATGAAAACACAGTGACATCTAATAAGATCCATCAAGTCTACTCAGACAAAAAATGTCACTTTCAACAAAAAACCTAATCAATCAGCTATTACAGTCAGTACCCTTCAATGCAGTATCGAACTATTCAAAAAGCTCATCATTAAAGTATTTTTTGTGAAGGTGAATTGTAAGATAACTGGTAAATCAATGGTGAGGGGATAACACTGGAAATAGGGGAGGTTCCAATTATTGGCCATCAGAGTTGGAGAAACTGCACAGAGTACAAGGACAGGGTTGACACAGAGTTTAATTGAGCTAAGTGAAGATAAGTGGCTTTGCCTCATTTTACATCACTCCCAGCTTGTTGAACATTGATTCAGCACTGTTCATGCAGAAAGCTACAACATTTTCAGCCAAATAACTTGATGGAAATTTGTACCATTTTAAACATCAGTGATGTATAGGCCTGTTTCTGAAACTGTGGTGATCACATGATGGGGCCCAGCAGAGTAAACAGATGACTTGTCAAACACGGGTATTCCTGCCAGACATGGTGGTCGACATTGGAGTTACTATCACAGTGGTAACAGGACTTTGCACCCAAGCCTCAATGCAGAGGGTGCAGGCAGTACAGTCACATATTGGGCATAAACAGAAAACCTATATCAGTCTTCTATCTTCTGCTGACTCCCTACAATGTGACCCCTGACCCCTGTGTGGTCCCCTTCTATCTTCTGTTGACTCCCCACAATGTGACCCCTGACCCCTGTGTGGTAGTCTTCTATCTTCTGCTGACTCCCCACAATGTGACCCCTGACCCCTGTGTGGTAGTCTTCTATCTTCTGCTGACTCCCCACAATGTGACCCCTGACCCCTGTGTGGTCCCCTTCTATCTTCTGCTGACTCCCCACAATGTGACCCCTGACCCCTGTGTGGTCCCCTTCTATCTTCTGTTGACTCCCCACAATGTGACCCCTGACCCCTGTGTGGTAGTCTTCTATCTTCTGTTTGACTCCCCACAATGTGACCCCTGACCCCTGTGTGGTAGTCTTCTATCTTCTGCTAACTCCCCACAATGTGACCCCTGACCCCTGTGTGGTAGTCTTCTATCTTCTGCTGACTCCCCACAATGTGACCCCTGACCCCTGTGTGGTTGTCTTCTATCTTCTGCTGACTCCCCACAATGTGACCCCTGACCCCTGTGTGGTTGTCTTCTATCTTCTGCTGACTCCCCACAATGTGACCCCTGACCCCTGTGTGGTCCCCTTCTATCTTCTGCTGACTCCCCACAATGTGACCCCTGACCCCTGTGTGGTCCCCTTCTATCTTCTGCTGACTCCCCACAATGTGACCCCTGACCCCTGTGTGGTCCCCTTCTATCTTCTGCTGACTCAACTGTTGGTGCAACATGAGATTTGTGTTTGTGTTTTGTTCATGTTCTGATTTTAATCATTACATTTATTGCAAAACCCACCATCCCTCATTCACTGATGTGCATAAGCAATTGCTCCTTGTAGGTGTGTATGTACCTGCAACCTCCATTAGGTTGTGTGGAGACAGATTAAAGTCACTTAATATTCTCATGATCCAATTTTTAGCCAACTGTTATATTTTCCTTTTTCCTGTTAAAGTCCTGATAACCTTGCACAGATCAGCATAACTGATGACAATATTGGGGATTATTTTCTTTTGTATATGGAATTGAACATATGAATAATAACTGGTCACCTATGCTGACTGAGGAGGACTGCACACCTGAATGTTGCTTGTTATAGATACTTCACCAAAGGGTTACAGTGAGTTTCAGTGTATGTAAATTATGTTTTACCAGTGGTCAGTTGTCAAGGTGACTGCAGCTTCTGCATGTGCAACTATAGCAACATCTCATTCCCAATGTCTGTAATGAACTGCTGACATGCCTTCAGTTAAGGAACCAGTAAATTGTAAGATCTTGACTTTCCATTCCATATGTGATGTCAGGAATCCAAAACAATTGAAATGAATGGGCAGTGCTACAGACCTTCACAGATTTAGGGATGAATGATGTCTCTATTTCATGTAGAGGGACGTGGGACACCATACAGGGTTAACTTCTGTTGAACTGTAATTGCAGTTTGAGGTGATTCTCCACGATTTGTGCAGACTATATATTGGCTGTGTCTTGGATTATTAGCTTGACAATACTAAACACTACCCAAAGCATGTGCACCAGCCTCAATTGCAATGGAGGTCAGGTCTTCATCTAACTGTGTGGAATTGTTTTGTTTGATGGTTAAAACCAGGATTTTCTCTCACCGATAAAGATAAAATTTGAAATCATATTTAGATCTTTCTGAATATTTTGATTAAAGAATATTTGCTCTATGGAATTTACCATGGGCCATGTAGTTTAATGTTGGAAGTCAACAAAGGGGCTGGGTATTGGTGGGGAAAGCTGTGTTCATGAGAGTGGAAGGCGAAAGCTGTGTTCATGAGAGTGGAAGGCGAAAGCTGTGTTCATGAGAGTGGAAGGGGAAAGCTGTGTTCATGAGAGCAGAAGGGGAAAGCTGTGTTCATGAGAGTGGAAGGGGAAAGCTGTGTTCATGAGAGTGGAAGAAGAAAGCTGTGTTCATGAGAGTGGAAGGGTAAAGCTGTGTTCATGAGAGCAAAAGGGGAAAGCTGTGTTCATGAGAGTGGGTGGGGGAAAGCTGTGTTCATGAGAGTGGGTGGGGGAAAGCTGTGTTCATGAGAGTGGGTGGGGGAAAGCTGTGTTCATGAGAGCAGAAGGAGAAAGCTGTGTTGATAAGAGTGGAAGGGGAAAGCTGTGTTCATGAGAGTGGAAGAGGAAAGCTGTGTTCATGAGAGCGGAAGGGTAAAGCTGTGTTCATGAGAGCAGAAGGGGAAAGCTGTGTTCATGAGAGTGGAAGAGGAAAGCTGTGTTCATGAGAGTGGGTGGGGGAAAGCTGTGTTCATGAGAGTGGAAGAGGAAAGCTGTGTTCATGAGAGTGGAAGAGGAAAGCTTTGTTCATGAGAGCAGAAGGGGAAAGCTGTGTTCATGAGAGTGGAAGAGGAAAGCTGTGTTCATGAGAGTGGGTGGGGGAAAGCTGTGTTCATGAGAGTGGAAGAGGAAAGCTGTGTTCATGAGAGTGGAAGAGGAAAGCTTTGTTCATGAGAGCAGAAGGGGAAAGCTGTGTTCATGAGAGTGGAAGAGGAAAGCTGTGTTCATGAGAGTGGGTGGGGGAAAGCTGTGTTCATGAGAGTGGAAGAGGAAAGCTGTGTTCATGAGAGTGGAAGAGGAAAGCTGTGTTCATGAGAGTGGAAGGGGGAAACTGTGTTCATGAGAGTGGAAGGGAAAGCTGTGTTCATGAGAGTAGAAGGTGAAAGCTGTGTTCATGAGAGTGGAAGAGGAAAGCTGTGTTCATGAGAGTGGAAGAGGAAAGCTGTGTTCATGAGAGTGGAAGAGGAAAGCTTTGTTCATGAGAGCAGAAGGGGAAGCTGTGTTCATGAGAGTGGAAGGGGAAAGCTGTGTTCGTGAGAGTGGAAGGGTAAAGCTGTGTTCATGAGAGTGGAAGAGGAAAGCTGTGTTCATGAGAGTGGAAGAGGAAAGCTGTGTTCATGAGAGTGGAAGAGGAAAGCTGTGTTCATGAGAGTGGGTGGGGGAAAGCTGTGTTCATGAGAGTGAAAGGGAAAGTGCTGTGATCAGATATGAAAACTTAAGTATGACAATTTTAGATGAACATTTAATATATTCTGCTGTTTTTCCATATAGTCTATGCTTAAAAATATTTTCTGAATTAAAACACTCAAATTTTGTCCTTGTCCAATCAAAAGTGAGAGTTATTTATTTAGGCAGTGAGTGGGTAATCCTTGGCCTCACTGTACAGTCCAGGAGGGTACTGACTGTGGCCAAGATCAATAGTAACACGGTGGCCAGCAAATCCATGGCCTACCTGTGGATTACTAAATCTCCTTTCTCCACTAAATTACTGTAGATTTGAAGCCCAGTCAATCCCTTTCTGCGGGCAGGCCATCCATTTCCCCCAGTGCTCCCCCAGCCTACTGGTGTACAGGCCACGGCCAACATGCAGCACAGCAACAAGCGCATGCACTGTCGGGGAAACTGGAAGAAGTCAAAGATAAAATATATAATACAAAGGTTTCTGTTGAATAATAGTTCAAAGGAGTTGGAAATGGCACAGTTGTTTTTCACAAGTTGGCAAAGTTTGACTAGAGTTAAGCATGTGTGAACAAGGAGTTAGAGATGTATAACTTTGTTAACTGGGATTAATACTTGATTGATATGCCTAGCACTTCTGGGAATGCTTTTTCCACAACCTCCAAAGTTCCATCACAGAATTCAATTCTGCATGTATGTAAAAAGTGAGCTGTATTAGAAACTAGATATCTATTTCATTGACATGGGCTTACAAAAAGGCCAAAGATAATGATCAAGTGATGTCACTCTTATTGAAAACTTGCCACTTGGCTCACTAAACTGCTTTCTTTTTATATCACATCAAGTTTTCATTTAAAAGTATTTCCATTGTACTATTCTACAAAAAATTTCGGCTGGTTGAACTTAAAATGAAAAAAATACAAATTGCTAAAACGAGGTTGATAATACAAAGCGAAGATATTGCTAAAATAGTACATCAATCACTGGTTTGTCTTGTCTCATGTTGTTTAGTTAGAGTCTGCCATCATATTGATAGAATATTGCTGAGTACAGCACTAAACAACAAACCAACAGACAAATAAAACATTATGTGTTCATGTCAGCCCACAGTGTGTTCATGTCAGCCCACAGGGTGTTCATGGCAGACCATTGTGTGTTCATGGCAGCCCATTGTGTGTTCATGGCAGACCATTGTGTGTTCATGGCAGACCATTGTGTGTTCATGGCAGGCCATTGTGTGTTAATGTCAGCCCACAGTGTGTTCATGTCAGCCCACAGTGTGTTCATGGCAGACCATTGTGTGTTCATGGCAGCCCATTGTGTGTTCATGGCAGACCATTGTGTGTTCATGGCAGGCCATTGTGTGTTAATGTCAGCCCACAGTGTGTTCATGTCAGCCCACAGTGTGTTCATGGCAGACCATTGTGTGTTCATGTCAGCCCATTGTGTGTTCATGGCAGCCCATTGTGTGTTCATGGCAGGCCATTGTGTGTTCATGGCAGGCCATTGTGTGTTCATGTCAGCCCATTGTGTGTTCATGGCAGGCCATTGTGTGTTCATGTCAGCCCATTGTGTGTTCATGGCAGCCCATTGTGTGTTCATGGCAGGCCATTGTGTGTTCATGTCAGCCCATTGTGTGTTCATGTCAGGCCATTGTGTGTTCATGTCAGCCCACAGTGTGTTCATGTCAGCCCACAGTGTGTTCATGTCAGCCCATTGTGTGTTCATGTCAGCCCACAGTGTGTTCATGTCAGCCCATTGTGTGTTCATGTCAGACCACAGTGTGTTCATGTCAGCCCACAGTGTGTTCATGTCAGACCATTGTGTGTTCATGTCAGCACATTGTGTGTTCATGGCAGACCATTGTGTGTTCATGGCAGACCATTGTGTGTTCATGTCAGCCCACAGTGTGTTCATGTCAGCCCATTGTGTGTTCATGTCAGCACATTGCGTGTTCATTTCAGCACATTGTGTGTTCATGGCAGACCATTGTGTGTTCATGGCAGACCATTGTGTGTTCATGTCAGCCCACAGTGTGTTCATGTCAGCCCATAGTGTGTTCATGGTAGACCATTGTGTGTTCATGGCAAACTAACGTGTGTTCATGGTAGACCATTGTGTGTTCATGGTAGACTCATGTGTGTTCATGGTAGACCTGTTTGTAGCAGAGCAAAGTAAAGCATGTCTGTGGTTATAGTTTTGCATCACTGCTCATCTCTAACTGTTGGGAATCAGTAGAGCTTCATGTCATATTCTAAATCAGTCTATTGCCAATATGAAGTGATGTAACCAAGAGTCACAGTCACAGATAACACAGATACAGTGTTATATATGAAACGAGAAGGGAATTAATTCATGATATGTCACTCATTGCTTATGGTAAAGCTGTTCTGTGATGTATGACGTCACTGCATTACAGCGCCATACCACTGTATGGCGTCATCTATGGAATGGTGTCGCACGTTAAAAACTGAGGGAAATACATTTTTATAAATAAAACACAAAATGAAACTGCACAGTAACATATATAAAGTATGATGTTTTCATATCCATTTGTGGTTAAATTGTTCATTAAAGTGAAATACTATTAATTGTACCTTTATGCAAAACTCTTAGACTAAGTGATTTCCCTAAACGACTCGATCGTAAATTTTGAATTTGGCGTGGTTGTTAACAAGTGCTTCTAGCAATAAAATGCACACTAACCCCCTTTCTTTTTAATTTGGACAGTTTGATTAAATAATAAAGATTTCAGATAAAGCTATCTTAGAAAAAGGTAAAGACTCTTAAACAGGGCAGTGGCAATTAGAGGCAAATGAGGGAATGTGTGTCCACATGTGCACAGACCTGAAGTGTGTATGGTAGTCAGTGAAGGCTTGGGACACCATATAAATTACACTTTCAGCATGATGTTACTTCTCATTTACACAAAGGAAACGTTATGTTTGATAGTCTAACCAGATTGGATTTGTTCTGTGAGTCAGAGAATGACACAAATATTGAGTTGAGCACTGAGCTGTCTTTTGATTGTGATTTCCTCAATGATTTGGAAGGGTAACGGCAGGTGTACATTGTGTGCATATTGACACATTGAGTCCAGCCTGCTGACAGTGGTAAGTGATAGGAAGGGGCAAGTTGATCAAGCATGGATTAAGATTACAAAAAATTGTGAAACCTAAAGACTTGTGTTGCCGGTGTGTCTGCCTGGTGTAATCAGACTCTGGACATGTCAGCTTGAAGAGGTCAAATGTATATGAATATAACATAACAAAACCCAACATACATGTACTTGTAGTGTTAATATACATTATCAGAATTATCCCCTTGTGCCTCCAGACTTCACTTTCCCTTCTTGTGCCAGCAGACTTTACTTAACCTTCTTGTGCCGGCAGACTTCACTTTCCCCTCTTGTGCCGACAGACTTCACTTTCCCCTCTTGTGCCGACAGACTTCACTTTCCCTTCTTGTGCCAGCAGACTTCACTTTCCCTTCTTGTGCCGGCAGACTTCACTTTCCCCTCTTGTGCCGACAGACTTCACTTTCCCTTCTTGTGCAGGCAGACTTCACTTTCCCATCTTGTGCCAGCAGACTTCACTTTCCCTTCTTGTGCCGGCAGACTTCATTTTCCCCTCTTGTGCCGACAGACTTCACTTTCCCTTCTTGTGCCAGCAGACTTTACTTTCCCTTCTTGTGCCGGCAGACTTCACTTTCCCATCTTGTGCCGACAGACTTCACTTTCCCTTCTTGTGCCAGCAGACTTCACTTTCCCTTCTTGTGCAGGCAGACTTTACTTTCCCTTCTTGTGCCGGCAGACTTCACTTTCCCTTCTTGTGCAGGCAGACTTCACTTTCCCTTCTTGTGCCGGCAGACTTCACTTTCCCCTCTTGTGCCGACAGACTTCACTTTCCCTTCTTGTGCCAGCAGACTTCACTTTCCCTTCTTGTGCAGACAGACTTCACTTTTCCTTCTTGTGCCGGCAGACTTCACTTTCCCATCTTGTGCCGACAGACTTCACTTTCCCTTCTTGTGCCAGCAGACTTCACTTTCCCTTCTTGTGCAGACAGACTTCACTTTTCCTTCTTGTGCCAGCAGATTTCACTTTCCCTTCTTGTGCAAGCAGACTTCACTTTCCCTGCTTGCGGGAGCTGCTTCCCAGCTGCCCCCATCACCCCCACTGCCTCCCCTGGCACCAATGTTTATATGAGGATGGTTAATGTGCTGTCAGTAAACAGTATTGATGAGAATCAGGTCACAGAAGGTGTTATTTCACTTTTCAATTCAATGACATCTGAAACTGGAAATTGAATTTCTGTAGGATGAAATTTCATGGAAGAAAACAGCTACACATATTCAATCCTGAGGGTCATTCACAGATGACCATGACATGGGATTTTCTACAGGTAACTGTCAGTCATCATCAGAATGTTATTTGACATTAAAAAGAAAAGGAGAAACAACACCCTGTCATTTGAAATTCTATCAGATGTAACCCTTTTTAAATTGGACCTTGTACCATACATGAAAAACAATATTTTCGTTAATCCACAATAGTGTTTGTCATGTGTGAAGTGATTTAGTCTTGATGAAAACTACCAGAATTGATGTAATGTTCAAGCAAGATGGGAAAAAGGCAGTAGTGGACAGCTGTAAGTCTGACACCATGACAGCAGGAACTCCTCAATTCCAATGTAAGCATGATCTGTGTGTGCCTAGACACCTCGGTCTTGAGACAGTCCTGACATGATCTGTGTGTGCCTAGACACCTCGGTCTAGAGACAGTCCTGACATGATCTATGTGTGCCTAGACACCTCGGTCTAGAGACAGTCCTGACATTATCTGTGTGTGCCTAGACACCTCGGTCTAGAGACAGTCCTGACATGATCTGTGTGTGCCTAGACACCTCGGTCTAGAGACAGTCCTGACATGATCTGTGTGTGCCTAGACACCTCGGTCTAGAGACAGTCCTGACATGATCTATGTGTGCCTAGACACCTGGGTCTGGCGACAGTCCTGACATGATCTGTGTGTGCCTAGACACCTCGGTCTAGAGACAGTCCTGACATGATCTGTGTGTGCCTAGACACCTCGGTCTAGAGACAGTCCTGACATGATCTGTGTGTGCCTGGACACCTCGGTCTGGAGACAGTCCTGACGTGATCTATGTGTGCCTTGACACCTGGGTCTAGAGACAGTCCTGACATGATCTGTGTGTGCCTAGACACCTCGGTCTGGAGACAGTCCTGACATGATCTATGTTTGCCTAGACACCTCGGTCTAGAGACAGTCCTGACATGATCTGTGTGTGCCTAGACACCTCGGTCTAGAGACAGTCCTGACATGATCTGTGTGTGCCTAGACACCTCGGTCTAGAGACAGTCCTGACATGATCTATGTTTGCCTAGACACCTCGGTCTAGAGACAGTCCTGACATGATCTGTGTGTGCCTAGACACCTCGGTCTAGAGACAGTCCTGACATGATCTGTGTGTGCCTAGACACCTCGGTCTAGAGACAGTCCTGACATGATCTTGTGTGCCTAGACACCTCGGTCTGGAGACAGTCCTGACATGATCTGTGTGTGCCTAGACACCTAGGTCTGGCGACAGTCCTGACAAGATCTATGTGTGCCTAGACACCTCGGTCTAGAGACAGTCCTGACATGATCTGTGTGTGCCTAGACACCTCGGTCTGGCGACGGTCCTGACATGATCTTGTGTGCCTAGACACCTCGGTCTGGCGACAGTCCTGACATGATCTATGTCTTAAACATTGCTTGTTTGTGAGGAACAACTTTCAAAGTGAAAAAAAATATTGTACTCGTACAGTTTAATACTTACTCCTCCCAGTCCTAGCAAGGGTTCCCACAATAAATACCAAAACAAATGAACCTGGACAAATGTCCCAATCAGTGACCTGACTCTTTTTATTGTTCCTGTTTCTGTGAAACTAGTAGTAGCTATTATTTCTCTGTTGTTATAACATGCTAGGGAATAACTCACAAATATTGTTACAATATCTATTCTAGGAACAATCACATTAAAGTGTGCATTTCTGCAGAAAGTTGTAATGAGCAAACAATGTCTTTGCCATGCTGGAGAGTGTATTATTCAGTAGATCCTGTCTAAGCTACAGATCCCCCCCTAGCTACTTGTCCCTCTATTGTCTTACAGGAGATAGCCGTGTAAACCTGTTTCTTACGTCTTTGCACATGTTTCATTGAGACAGGGAGATGCGATATCCCATTACCCCAGTCACGCTTCCAGCAAGATTTTAAACCTCTTCTCCCATATGGGTTAGAGTCTAGCAGCTGGGGCAGCCCATTACCTCCAGGAGGGGTGGCAGATAATTCACAAATTGGGTATTCAGAAAATACTTTTTACCATGGCTGCCGATTCATTGATCAGTTTTATTGGTGGAGTCGTTGATGGCAAGGCTGAAGAAAGCAGCTAGTTGGTGTTATGTTGGGTTATACACTAACTGATGGCATAGCTGTCTCCCCTTCCCCGCCACCACTCATCTGTGGAGCCAATTCCATGAGTGCAGTGCTGTATACCATAAACACATCTCTTTGCAGGCTGGGACTAACAGACAGAAGAGGGCCAAGGAAAATGGCCGATATCTGAACTACAAAGTTTGGAACTTTTCTGAACAACGGATTATCAGCATTTTTCTTGAGTGTGGAAGCGGAGGTGATTCAGGATTGAGGATTAACTCTCAAATTACAGTTTTGGAAGTTGTGATCAAGTTTACCCAAAGTTGTGTCAATCTGTTTTGGATAGATCTGATACCCATCACAGTCCTGGTTGGTGAGTAAGCCTTGTTTTTATCTCGTTGTTCTACTTTCAGGCATGACTGTATTTATTTCAACATCTCTGCTCAGCATCAGAGAACAATACCAAAAGATCTACAATCTTACTGGATCTCTTTGTGATTGTGTAGGTAATGTATGGCTTCTCTGGGGGGTGTACATGGTGGGAGTGTACACCTGCTGACCCAGGCACATGATGCTCACAGTGGAGGAACAACAGCATGCCAGTACCCATGGCAGTGTCAGGGTAACATGGGGTCAGCATGAGGGGTGGCAGGGGTAGGTGGGGACAGGAAGGGTGGCAGGGATAGGAGGGGACAGTTTGAGGGGGTAGAGGGTTTGGGGAGTGATAGGAGTCTACATGATGAGTCATAACTGCCAGACAATGTGGAGGATATAGTTCAACGTCTTGATATCGGTGTTCCTTCTACTTTAGAGATGAATGAGTGTTTACAATATTATTATGAATTACAGCTTAATGGTATATAGCTGGACCATATTATGGCAGTATGCGTAGGTGCAAATTATGTATGTTTTTTTTACTTTGGGTTATCCGAAGCAAATGTTAATTAGACGCTTTGTTGTGAAATAGTTTTAGACAATACAGGAACCATCACTGATTGACACGTACATGCCTACTGGGTGAGAATTAACTCGGAAGTGATTAATAAGCAGTATTAAATGTATGGAGACATCAGAGAAGTAATTGTCAGGCAGATCAGCCCAACAGGTGGAGAGACACTCTTACTGATTGTTTCAGTTAGTTGTCATTAGCCCAAGTCTCAAGCCAAGGAAAAGAGTCAACTTGTAACTTGAAACCATGTAACTGGAAGACCGATGAATACTTGATGATCTAATCATGGTGATGGGATTAGCCAGTGATCCAACACAATGTGCACTTGTTTCCTATGTAAACATGGCTCTAGATACTATGTCATTTCCTTGGCCAACATGGAAGTGCCAGATCAACTACTGTACTGAAATCTGTGTTTTAAAGGGGGTTTTGTGTTTTAAAGGGGGGGTAACTCTGGAGATCTACGAAACATGAAGGCTAACTTATTAATGAAAAAATGAAGATCTTTTATGTCATTACTGTTATACATCCTATTTACAGTCAGTATCTAATAGTGGACATTAGTTAGTCAATAATACATCTAACATAATTGTTTATTGTATTAATTTGTTTTAATTGGATACCTGTTGTTATACTGAATCTGGCACGAGAACACCTACTACAGAGACAAGTTTAAACTTTAATATGGAAAGTAGAGAAGGCTATGGGTGGAATCTGTTGCTGAAGATGGTAATTACTGCTAGAATGCCAGCATGTTGCTCTGTGCCACACTAGCACACAACTGGTCAGTGAGAGTCTAGCTGGCTGTGTACAGAGCTGGGGGACACACAGGACAAGTCCTGTATCTCTACCTATCTGAGAGGAATTGTGTGCAGATATTGGTGGTCATTGGTCAGTGATAGTCATGTAGCCTGATAATCCTGTGGTCTAACGAGTCAGGAACAAGTGGGGAGATAAGGAGAGGGGAGGATCCAGGCTAATTACTGAGAACTAATTAGCACCAGCTGGGTTTAATTTGAAGCCTTTGTAAGGAGAACTAAGAAAGTATGTTGGGAAGTTGTGATAAGACAGCCAGACTATCTGCTGGAATGTTGGGGGGATGAGACCTGCTTGTTGACAGGGTTCCTGTCCAAGTCATGTTGGAGAGGAGATTCTCCTGAGCCCTGCCCCAATGTTATCTCCCTACCAGTGAGTCAGTGGAGGTTGTTGGAAACTGCATGTACAGTCTTTCTCAGGGATCATCCTCCAATGTATATAGTCAGCATGACAGACCTCTCCAAGACTTGATGCAGAACAAACAGAATCAACTTCCAGAACAGCCACAAGTGGATGGAAAAGACATTCAAGATGAAACCTTTCTGTGTTAAAGCTATGTCCTTATCAATAAAGATAATACTATTGAAAGATGACAATGCAAGTAGGAAATACCCATTTGTTTCAGTGAAAAAACTCATTCATTCTCTGCAATAGTTAAGAAATGCTTGATGACATCCTAGATTAGCTGGCCAAGATTGTGACTGCTGAAACTGGGAAGTGGAATTACTTTCTGCACAAAGGACTATTGAAATCAGGTAACCAGGCTTCAGTCAATGGCTTGTGATCCCTGTGTGTCCATGTACAATAAACACTTAGACTGGCCAGCACTCTCAGGGAAAGATTAAGTGACTAACTGAATGATCATAGATATTTCCTGTAAGTGCTGTTAATGTTTTTGATGAACATGAAACTGTTTGTGCTGTTCCCAGGATAGTTCTGTTAGTGCCAGTACAAGGGGTCAAGGGAATCTACAGCCCACAACCACTATTGACTGTAGGGTGTAATACATCACCCTTTCTCACTGAATCTATGTTCATCTTGCTGAAGCCTACACACTTGTAGCGAATACTTTTTGGGTAGCAAGTTGAGTGCCAGGAAAAACTGTGAACTTCAAAGGAGACTTTGCGACCTGTGGCTGATTCAGCTGTCATAATTCTTAGGTAATTATCAAATTATGGTATTATCGGATGACACTTCTCTGCAAATTCATATTTATAGCAAAAGTTCCTGCCAGGATCATGGAGGCATCATAATAAATCGTTAAATAAACCATTTTTATTGATTGGAACTGCGAGTGATGTAAACAAGACAGTTACTGGGGAAAACTTTGCTCTCTCAGTCATATCTTATCTTATGATGGCATAGCCAAGTCCAAATTGTTATGAAATTGGCATTTTGATCAATGGCTTTCATCCAGCTGACGCCTATCTGGGCAGCCTCTTGTGGCAATGATCCATCTATACACTGTCAGTGGAGTACAGCTGGATTGTTGCTGTCTCCTATCTTGTGGCAATGATCCATCTATATACTGTCAGTGGAGTACAGCTGGATTGTTGCTGTCTCCTATCTTGTGGCAATGATCCATCTATATACTGTCAGTGGAGTACAGCTGGATTGTTGCTGTCTCCTATCTGGTGGCAATGATCCATCTATATACTGTCAGTGGAGTACAGCTGGATTGTTGCTGTCTCCTATCTTGTGGCAATGATCCATCTATATACTGTCAGTGGAGTACAGCTGGATTGTTGCTGTCTCCTATCTTGTGGCAATGATCCATCTATATACCGTCAGTGGAGTACAGCTGGATTGTTGCTGTCTCCTATCTTGTGGCAATGATCCATCTATATACTGTCAGTGGAGTACAGCTGGATTGTTGCTGTCTTCCATCCGGGCAGCCTCTTGTGGCAATGATCCATTTATATACCCTATTTATTGAGTATATATATTCCTTTATCGCGTTTTTTAGTTGCAGCTCTTACTATATATATTTACTTTAATAATAACCATAAGCAGAGCACTTTGGCACAGCTGATTGCTATTGACGGATAATATTTATGTATGGAACAATTTGACCAGTAACAGTCGAGGGTCTTATGCTCCTGAAGACTGTTGACATTTAATCGTCAAACTACAACAAGAGTTACTTTTAACGAGTCAAAGTATGGCATTTATGATATATGTATCCATTGTCTGTCAGCTAAAGTTTGTTTCAAGGCATCACTAGTGGTAATCTTACGGTTGTTTCTTTAAATAATGATGATAACAGTGTTGAACGAAATTTTGAATAAAATTAATATAATAGATTACAAACATAAGTCCATATATACAATGAACCCTTTTTAAAACTAGACAGTGTATTTACAGGATGAATTTACATACTCTAGTATGGATTTGTTGACATGGTATTCCAGTGTTTACATGCTCACCATAATGTTAGCGTTGGGGAGGAGGGAACAACTGATTATGGCGTATATGATGCGCACCCTCCTCTCAACACAGCTGTGTATTTTGAAAAATACACTTATGCACATTATACTCATGAAAAAAGGGTACTGTTAGTGGAATGCAGCTGGATTGTTGGCGTCTCCTATCTGGGCAGCTTCCTGTGGCAATGATCCATCCTGGGTGCTATCACTATGGAATTGTTGCCTATTTAGTGTAGGGCAAAGAGAAACAGGAGCATCATATTCATTAAGTTAAACATGGCTGCAATAGTCTGTCCTTCAACAGTTCACTTCTCCATACTTTTGTCCACTCAACTATTGCCCGCAGGTACACATCAGTCCTCCGGAGTTTTTAAATACTGTATACCATGTAAATTTCAGTGTCTGAGTGTTCACTCTTTGTCAATATTCAACATTTTGTTTCTAATTTGATTTAATGAAAATGCTATTAATATTGTACTTGGATGTGTCACGGTCATATCCAAATTAGAACTTCTCATTTCAACAAGAGCCACATTGCTCATTAAAGTCGGGACATCAAGCTAATTAAGGGTGGGGCACACTTTTCACTAATGAAAGAAGCCAGCCTGAAACAATCCACTCTGTATCAACCTTGCCTGAATGAGAATATGACATCATGTTTCACAGCTCCACGATCATGTGGCCTGCCAATGATAACCTGAGCTGACTTCACTGGTCTAGCATCTCCTAATTGGTACCAGTTATTGTAGGGTGGAAATCAGTTCTTTCTGATTTCAAGGCTAATTAATTTGCACAAGATTTGTCACATTTATGAAATAGATCAATTATTGATGATCCAATCATAAAATATGACCGTTGGAAGTCAGTGGAATATTGCTGGTGCAAAAGCAGTGAGAAGGTATCTTGTGGAGCATGATATCACTCCCTGACTAGCATCTGACTAGCATTTGACTAGCCTGGACAGCTGGAGGTAATTGTTTTGTTTTGAATGCTGAAGAAATAAGCAATGTTATGCAAAGTCATATGGCAAAAATGTTTTCCATCTAGATTAAAACCTCTGTCCATAATGTAGCCCGACTGAGCCACCTGCCTCTCATATCATCATGCAGGACCTGGAAGTCACAGGGGAAATTTCTCATTTTCAAGAATCTACAGCATACATCAGTTTCAGGTGCTACTTTG